CTTCATCATATTAATAAAGTATGCACCGGTTCACAAGTTAGATTTGATTTGGATTTTTTAATAAAACGATAAATCATAACACCATGAGCGGAAAGACTTATCGATGCAAAACAAATGAAATTGAGTCACAAATCAACAACAGTTCTAATAAATATAAATCTTATAATTAGCCAAACATTGGATAAGAATTTATTTTTAATAGACAATTTATTCAGAACTCACAAATACTATTTCTTATGATGATAATTAGCTAAATAATTATACATCATATCATTAAAAAGTGGCAGTCGTGCGAGAGACGTGTTTATATTAAATGGATAAAGTAAGCAGCTAGTGGGCCACCCAGACAGTGAATTAGACAGAGAAACAAACGAAGAGAGAGAGAGAGACTGTGAGAAAGTCATGAAAATGAATGAACCCAGAAAAGGAGAGAGAGAGAGAGAGAGAGAAAATAAATAAACAAATAATAAAAAGGTACAGAAATTTCAGCCGGGGAAAGGGGCATTTTCTCTCATCTCATATCGTATGGTTTATCGTATCGCGCGATATAATAAGTACGAAACAATAGTATTTCTCTTTTTTAAAAAAAGCTTTTTCCAAAGCGGAATGAGAAAGAAAACCACTTTCGTTTTTTTATTTTGTTTTTCAATTATCTTTTCAAATTTAATAAAGTCCTCATAATAATTGATAATAATGATTTTTTTCTTTATTATTTCTCGTGCATCGTTTTCGCAGAACCACCACACGTCAATTCCGTCGGACACAAATTAAACGGTTCTAATCAGACGAACGTTTTTTGTTTTGTTCTAGGGGAGGTGGATATTGATGAAACTTACACTTTAACCCCCAAACTATGCCATCTTGTCAAATCACCCCTTTTCTTCACTCTTATATGTATTCTCCATCAATCAACTCATTTATGTTTGCTCATCGAGCCCATATCTCCTTTCTTTTCAGAGGAGCTTAGATGGCTAAGGATGACTTACCTTTGGTTCCAACCGGTCGGTTCAGGCCACGTACTCTCTCGAAAACATTCCTTGGGTGTTACAAATACAAATAGGTCGTTTGCTTAATAAATTTGAAAAATGAGTGTTTTGCTAAATGGATGTATGATGGATTTAGTGGCATCATAGATTTGAACAAGTCTATTGTTTGCTTGCTCGATTTGATCCATCACTCAAATCCCACCTCAAGAGGTGGAACTTCCAAGTCTGTGGGGTCCACTGATTTGGACCCCCAAAGTCCGTGGGCCCCACAGATTCCATCTTCCTAATCCCTAAGGCAAACGATGGATTTTCGTTCAAGTCCATAAATGGATGGATTTCCATGACCAAAATCCATCATCAAAACCCTCAAGCAAACAACCCGATAGAGTACTTCATACAGGTCGTCGAAAGAAAAAAGGATGTGTTATGGATTGGTCCAAGCGTTGGGCAGGCGGATGATTCATTTCGTCCAATCATAAATTATGTGACGAGGAAGAAGACGAACCAACTATCGAGAACTAAAATTAATTCCTCGTAATTTTTTTGGTCGAGAGTGACAATATCATCGAACTAGGCCAGCAGCCAATAAATACTCTCGCCAAACTTTTATGATGGGTTTGTCGGAGTTTTTTATGAAGGAGATATTGATTTTTTTCTTTTGAGGAACTAAATACAGTCGAAATCTTTATGGAATAAATTTTTGAGGATCAAGTGATCATAAGGAAAAAAAAAATGAAAAACGCGTAACAAGAGGTGTATAGCATATTCCGAGAGCTACCCACGTAAGATTCACAATTAGAGTAGAGAGGACGTGTTTGAAGAAAGTGTATAGTTTAGGCGCCAAAGAGTAACTTGATTAAAATGGATGAATTGACATAGAGAGACCGTTTGATTTTGAGGGCTTTTGTTTGTTTGGGGGGCTGCGGTTCTCTATATAACACTCCCACCGTAACTACGGTGCGCCACTTTAGACCAGATTGAGATTCTATCCTCTCTCAGGTAAATGCATTTTTTTATAAATAAATAAAAATGCGATGATGCCGACCTGTGACTCATCCGTCTATTTAACTGCACATGGGGAAAATAAAAAAGAAAAAGAAAAAGTAGAAAACCCCACTATATAATAATAGTATCATTCAAAGATTCATGCATATCGATCCTCTTTAGAACATTAGCTGGTGAAACAAAACCGTATTGCATTGTGTAGATTAGATTCGGGGGGAAAAAGTACTTTCTATCAAAACTTAAATTGGTGGGTGGTTTCAGTGAAATGAAATTAGGAATGGCAATAAGGCAAGTTCGCGGAGTGGGTATCTCGATATCGATACTTACCCCATGGCAGGTTGGGTAATTTATCGCGGGGCACGGATCGGGGCAGGTCGACCCAACGAGTATGTAATTTATGCGAAAAAAATATTAGATATATTCGTTATTTTCATTAAAAGACAAAGAAAGAAACCATAATACGATAAAAATTCAGTTAAATTATTGAAAATCGAGGTTTTCATTTATTTACGACTTTATTATAATTAAAATATAAGTAATAAGAGAAAAATCCTAAATAACTTAGACTAAGATTACGAGGAATTTAGGCAAGAACGGGTCGACAATGGAGCGGGTTAGGGCAGGTCGGGTCGACGATTAACAAACATGACAAGCAATAGTAGCCAACAAACTAGGTTCCCATTTTGGTTGTTGGTTTGGTCCTTTGTGCGCAAAATAGTAATTGGACACGAAATTTCGTCAAAGCTAATGTCTTGTCGAGACGTTAGCACAGGCCAAAAGTCTTTAGGGGAAAGGTCAACTTCATTGACTTTCTCGAGTTCAAACGATTTCTCCATAACAACCGGCTAGTAGTGTGATGGTGCACTATCGGCAAAATTGGCATCCGCCTAAAGTTCTTCCACGAAAGAATGCCTTCTAAAGGTAAAGCGGGCAAATAAAGGAAAAAGGGAAATTTGCTTTGGAAAAAAAAAAAAACAATTATATTTGTCACTTTTCTTTTAGATATCCCAAATGGAAAACAACATATACGATAAAAGTATACATTATTTTTTGGGTAAATACAATTTAATATCCAAACCTTTCATTTTAAACAATATAATAGCCAAACCTTTTTGAAAACAATCTAATATCCAAATCGCCAACTTTTCGTTCGTTTAACCGTTAGTTGACACTTCAAAAAGCTTTGTTTAGGGGAAATTGTCACAATACAACTTTGTTTTCTTGTTTTGGCATTGCAGATGACTGAATATTTAGATATTCTATACCATCATGGTGGAGTCATGGACTTCTCGGGTTCAAAACTACGATATGTTGGTGTTTTTTAGAGAAGATCTCGATGGATATTGATGAAGTGTCGTACTTCGAACTTTTTTGAAGTGTCAACTAACGGTCAAACAGACAGAAAGTTGACGATTTGGATATTAGATTGTTTTCGAAAAGGTTTGGATATTATATTGTTTAAAATAAAAGGTTTGGATATTAAATTGTATTTACCCTTATTTTTTTGTTACGAGAAAGACAGTGTTTCAGTCAGGGTTGTATAGGAGGATTGATGCTGAGCAGACAATATGAGTGCAAAATTCCGACCCACTTAAAATCAATGGCTCAAATGTGGTTATGCACCCGAACCTTTTAGTTTCAAAGGGTTCCAAACTGTGACCACTTTCAACTTTTAATAAACGGTAGAATACTACACTCAGAATTATAAAAAGAAAGGTCATTTATATTACGGAGTTTCTCGATGTGACAATGGTAGGATAACATTACGTCTCCAACGACTAATTATGCCAAAATTAATGGAGAACAGTCAGCACTGGCAACTGTCATGATATTTGAACTGTAATTTTATAGCTCGCTTAGCTTATTCCTTATACAAGGTATTCATCAACAATCTTGCTCGTAGTAGTCAACCATCAGATGTCCAATGTGATTATTGAAGTTTACTCGGGGGTTGTCATCTGGCAGCTCCAACACGAAGTGTACTTCGATTCATGGGACTGTCCTCTTTTCGACGAGTGTCATTAGTTGGTGTTCTTCTAGAGGTGACTCAATCTTTAAAGCGATTTTTCGAACTATAAATTGAAATATTCGTGACGTGTAAAACTCTAATGTTGTGTCCTTGAGAGTTGGTTTCTATCAGAGCTCACATTTGCCATTCCTCCCTCACAAAATATCTTTGAATGGTTACAAAAGTCATTTTATAATTAGACAGTTTTCATTTATTGTTATTGACCATCAATGAGGTGACATACATGACACGTGTAGTTATGAAAGTGCTATAAACTATCAACAAAACTGAAGGAATTGGAACAAAGACACCATGGCCAATTATGGAAACTAGAAAACTGATGAAGAAGCCAATAAAAGGTGAATGGAAGGAGGAAAGTGATCTTTGTATAAAAGTTTGAATGGCCTAAATGGGTAAATGGGCTGGGCTCTTCGATCACGCAGGGCCCAATAAGCATTGAGGTTTGAGGGCAACCTCATCAAATGTACAGAAGATTTCTCTTTTCTTCAGATTACATGGTTTTGAATGTGATGCCATGGAAGAAGATAGAAAGCCCAATACTACAAGGCCCAAGCCACCCGGTGACAGTGGCCCATAGCGAATTTCGAGCTTGGAAATCCCACTGAGCCGTTGGTTGAGTGCTTCGCTAAGTCTCAAGTCTCAACCTTCTTCCGCTCCGCTCCGCGCCGGCGGCGGCGACACAGTTGTTTGTGTTTCAGTCCTGTTCTCTGGTTGGGTTTTCCGGATTCGATATCAAGTTCGCATCTTTCATTCTGGGTTCGCGCTGGAAATTGATTTAGATGATTGAGCTTTGTTATGGTATTGGAATAGAATCATTCGTATCGAAGGCTGGCTGGGCGAAGAGCTGGTAGTATCTATTGATGGCTGTCAGGGTCTACCGTTGCCAAAGCTTTCAATTCAACGCAGTTCAGCAGCTCGGCAATATGGCTAGGATCGTCCATCGAAACTGCTCTCTACTTCATTGGCTAAGAAAAACCGGTATGTCTGAATTCCCTTATTCTTCTGCTGCTACTCCCTCGTCTGACTTCGCAACTATGACCTCCAGTTCTGTAACTTTCGCCAGCGTAGATGATGCCTTGGATTCATTTAATAGGATGCTCCACACGAACCCCAGACCTTCGGTTGTGAAATTTGGTCAGTTGGTAAATTCGCTCATGAGAATGAACGCCTTCCAGGCTGCCTTCTATGCTTCTAAACAAATGGAATTAGCTGGAGTCCCACACAATCTTTACACGCTTGGCATGTTGCTTCGTTGCTTCTGTAAATTGGGTCGTGTGGATTTTGGCTACTCAGTGTTGAGCAAAGCTCTGAAGCTCGGTATTCAATTCAATGATGTGATGCTCACTACATTGATCGACGGGCTCTGTAAAGATGGTAGAGTAGTCGAGGCTGCAAGGTTGGTTCATAAGCTTAGGATTTTGGGATATCAACAAGATGTTTTCTCTTATAGCATACTTGTAGATGGACTGTGTAAGGCAGGGAAAACGAGTGTTGGGCTTGAATTGCTGAAAAACATGGAGGAGTTAGGTTGTCAACCTAATGTGGTTAGTTATAGCACAATCATTAGACGCCTATGCAAGGATGGAATGGTATCAAAAGCTTTAGATGTGTTTTCAGAGATGGAGGATAAAAAGATTCAACCAAATGTTTTTGCTTACAATGGCTTGATTCATGGGTTGTGCATTTCAAGCACAATCAATGAAGCTATGGAGTTGTTCAATAAAATGGTAGAGAGGAAGATAATGCCTGATACATTCACCTATAGCATATTGGTTGATGCTTTTTGTAAGGAAGGAAATGTTTTGGGAGCTAAAGTTATACTCAAAATGATGATTCAAGAAGGATTGATTCCGAATATCATCACTTACAATTCATTGATGGATGGGTATTGTTTGCGCAATGAATTGGATAAAGCTAGAAAGTTATTTGATTTCATTATTAGGGGATGCAAACCTACCTTGTATAGTTACAATATCATGATTCATGGATATTGTAAAAATGAAAGGATGGATGAAGCAGAACAGTTACTGAATAGTATGCTTGGGAACCATTTGACTCCGAATACGGTCACGTATACTACTATGATAAATGGATTTTGTCAAGCCGGGAGGCTTAAAGATGCACAAAAAATTCTAAAGAAAATGAGTGGGGAGGGTTGTTCCCCGAATATAGTGACGTACTGCACTTTGCTTGATTGCTTGTGTGCACGAGGTCAACTTGACGCCGCATTAGCTCTATTTCAAGTATTAGAAAGTAGTAGGTTGAAACCTGGTGTTGTGGCGTACAATATACTTTTGGATGGATTGTGGAGAGCAGGGAGGGGAGATGAGGCAAGGGAAATGTTTTCTAAGCTCAATAGGGACAATTGTTTGCAACTTAATACCCGCACATACAACACGGCAATTAATGGACTTTGCAGACAAGGTTTTGTGGACGAAGCATATGAATTGTTCAGAAAAATGGAGGGGGATGGTTGTCTACCAGATGGTGGCTCTTATAACGTGATCATTCATGGGTTTCTTCGCCATAAGGATCCACTTGAAGCAATGGACCTCATTCACGAGATGGTTTCGAAAGGCTTCTCAGCCGATGCCAGGACGATGACATTGCTCATAGAATTGGTGCCCAAGAATCAGTTGGATCATCCGATTTTCCAGAAGCTGTTGAGAGGTCCTGATATCAAGAGTCATAAAATTGGGTCCAGCGGTCTATCTGCTGCTGCTGCTGCTGCTGCTGCTACTCAAGGAACTTGCTGAAATTCTCATCCAAACTCCAGTTGGATGATCCAGCAGTTGATCAAAATCTCTTGGTGTCAATGGAAGATTCTGACGATGCAAGATTACTGGAACTAAAAGGTCCGAGTCATGATCCTTGCCATCCCACTTACATATGCGTTTCCATGCTTCCCTGATATTATCAGAAATTACTTGGTTTAAGGGCGCTGCATATTGCTGGTTCTCTCTGTTTGCTGTCTATACTTAGTATCGGAATATTGTGTAGAGACATGACTTAACTTAGCTCGCTTGTTTAGTAACATTAACTTACATTTTGCCCCAAAATCCCTTGGAATGGAACTCTAGGCTTCTGCTGTTGTCAAGAAGAATCAATGTGTTTGGGTATCCATTTTGCACTTCAGTCCTATGAATAGGATAGTGATCTCCTACTTCATAGTTGTCTGCTCTTGTCGTTTTGTTTGTTTGTTTGTTTCATGATGATGTTTGTGTTCATGTATGTGGTAGCTAAATAGTCACCATCTCGACATATAATCTTATTATTATCCACTGACACACAAGAACAAGAGCAAGTTGAGAGAAATACTTTATTTATTTATTTATATATATATTCAATATCTCGCATATAAAAGTTATAATAATGCAATTGGAAGGAAAATGTGAGGGGGGAAAATTTATCTTATAGAACTTGTTGGTGTATGAAGTTCTTGGGTCTGCCAATCCACCCACTCACCATATTCATTAAGCAACAACAATCCTTATTATACATAGTTTATTTATCCTTTTCTCTTGTTTGTAATGGTTTTGGTTGGTTCTAATCATATTCATTAAACAACAACAATTCTTATTATAGTATCTTTTTTGGTGTTTGTAATGGTTTTGTTTGGTTCTAATCATTTAACTACTAAATTCAATTATCACCACTTTCTATATAATACTAGTCATTACACATTCGTAATTGGCTTGGAGAGGGCATGCAGTAGCCATCAAAACAGTTCCTACCCCCTTCAAGCATAGTTAGTAAAATACGGTACGGGAAAGTTACGTAAAAACTACGTACGAGTATTATACTTTGTCTCTAAGCTAAAATTACGTTTAATAGTACGTTAATAGTCATAAATATATAAAATTAATCATTTTAAAAATAAATAAATATATAAATAATACTAAAGTTAACAATTTAATTCATAAAATACGGATAATAAACGTGTTATACGGGTTTTATACGTGTTTAGTACGGGCGTCATCAAATGAACGGGGGAAAATGAAACAGCTTGACAATAATACGGATACGGAAGTTTTAAACGGATAAAGTACGTACGGGTACATATACGTGTATTAAACGGAGTATTTACTAACTATGCCTTCAAGTAAGATTGTTCAAACCTAGTGGTTACTTTGGTGACCGTATTAACCGGTAGTATTTGGATAATTGGTTTAGTTTGGTTAATTTTTTTTAGCTTGTTTGGTTTGATTTCAGACACTTCTAACCGATTACACCAAATCAACCAGTTACCATATATCTAATACATATTATATATACAGAGCTGGAATCAATCCAAGTATCCAACTACCAAAAAATGGAAATCATTAAATGGGGGATAACCCACGAAAATGTGACCTTAACCTTTACAATTACAAAAAATAAAAAAATTTGACTAGCCAACAAGAGGTCTTTTTGTATAATTTTTTTTTTTTGGAACTGTATTAGGTGGATAGCAAGTAGCACCAGTTGAGTCACAAGGTCAACTTGCTCATTTATGTATGTAAATTTTAGATTGAATTGGATTTTCAATTTAGTATATATACATACCTATACAAAGTAGAGAGCATCAAAAAACGAAAAAGAATCTTTGTACATCATTATTTTGCTAGGGTTTAATGGAAGAAGTAGTACTTCCCATCCTCCTCCTATTGGTAACATTTATCCTCCTCACCCTGAAGATGATGAAGAAGAAGAAGTTGGAGGTGAACGGCGGTCCACCGCCGCCGCTACCACCAGGCCCAAGGAAGCTCCCGATAATCGGGAACCTCCACCAGCTGGCCTTCACCTCCCTCCTCCCCCACCGCCGGCTCCGGGACCTGGCCCGACAGTACGGGCCACTGATGCACCTCCAGCTGGGCGAGACCACGAACGTCGTGGTCTCGTCCGCGGAGCTGGCCAGAGAGCTCCTCAAAACCCACGACCTCAACTTCGCCTCCAGGCCCTCCCGCGTCTCCGCGGACATCATACTGTACGAAGCCAGAGACATCGTGTTCGCCCCCTACGGCGAGTACTGGCGCCAGATGCGCAAGATCTGCGCCCTGGAGCTCCTCAGCCCCAGGCGCGTGGGCTCGCTGCGTGCCGTCAGGGGGGCGGAGGTCCACGAGCTGGTCGGATCCATCGACCACTCCGCCGCTCAATGGAGTCAGAAGATGAAATCAGGTGTGTCTTCTTTTTTTTTGCCCCCCCGAAATATAAATTATTTTTATCGGAGATTTCGTTTACACAGCGCAGTAAATTAATTTATGACAATCAAATAACAATAAGTTGGGTTTTAGTAAAGTGACAAGAATATATTTATTACATCATCTTCAAATCGATGAGTTCAATACTTTTTCTATATGAATATACATGAATTTATTATCGTCGTCTTTTTTTTACCAGAACTTATCTGTGTGTCTCGTGACAGAGCCCAACCCCTCCGCTCAGCCGGCACCAGCAGTGAACCTGACCCCACTGCTGATGTCGCTGAGCAATCGCGTCGTTTCGCGGGCCACGATCGGGACGAAGCTCGGGAAAGAAGAGGAGTCTGAGTTCTTCCTTGTGATGCAAGAAATCATGAAGGCCTTTGGAGGGTTCACCCTAAGTGACGTTTTCCCGTCAAGTCGGCTGTTGGGCCTGATCGGCGGGACGGAGAGGCGGCTGAATGAGCTCCACCGTGAAGTTGACGTCATGCTCCAGCGCTTTATTGATGACCACGTGGCCAGAAGATCGGCAGAGAAGGGCGATGAAGAAGAAGAAGAAGCAGAAGATCAAGATCTGGTGGATGTGTTGTTGAATTACACTCGTGAACATGGCGATAAAAGCAACGAACTCAGCTTCCCTCTCACCGACGTCGAGATTAAAGCCGTCATCTCGGTAAGTCTTTAATCTTTATTATTATTATTATTATTATTATTATTATTATTATTATAGTGGTGGTGTATTAGGCGCACCCACTTTTTTGGGTGCACTTAGTGCACCCGCCTCATAATCATCATTCTGAGCATGCGATTCATGTCAAAACGGTATTAACTGTTGCTTATGATATTATGAACAAGAAGCAAGTGAATTTGAAAAAAAATCATTTAAAATTTACTTTAATTTGAAAGATTTAGGATTTAGGGGTTTAGGGTTAGGGTTTAGGTTTATAGTTAGAGATTTTGCATTGGGATTCAAAATTGAAGGTTAAAGGGTTAGAGTAATAGATTGATTTGTTATGATTCTATGGCATATCATCATATTAGATTGAGAGTACTCATTAAAGTTCAAAATTTGATGTATTATGGACACTTTTAGAGATGAGTGCACTGAGTGCAAAAAAAAAGTGAGTGCACCGAAGTAGCCACCTTATTATTATTATTATTATTATTATTATTATTATTATTATTTTGGGTATCTTGGGAATTCTTGAAAACTCATTTGGTTTGTGTTGTAGGACATGTTCTTAGCTGGAACTGACACGACTGCCGTTCTCTTGGAGTGGGCAATGGTAGAATTGATGAAAAATCCCGACGAGATGGAGAAAGCACAGAGAGAGGTGAGGCGTGTGTTTGACAAAAAAGGAAAACTAGTAGACGAAGCAAGTCTCGATGAACTAAACTATTTAAACTTAATTGTGAAAGAAACTTTAAGGTTGCACCTACCTGCTCCTCTACTAGCCCCAAGAGCAACTCGAGAAACGGTTGTGATTAACGGATACCAAATACCTGCTAAAACAACGGTGATCATCAATGCATGGGCCATCTGTCGCGATCCAGTACACTGGGAGAAACCAGATGAATTTATGCCAGAAAGATTCCTCCTCGGCTCCATCAATTACAAGGGCAATGATTTCCAACTGATCCCATTCGGTGCAGGACGCAGAATATGCCCTGGCATGCAGTTCGGGACTGCTATTGTTCATCTCGCACTCGCAAATTTGCTTTATCATTTTGACTGGAAGCTTCCAAACCAAACTAAACCCCAAGATCTTGACATGTCTGAAATTTTTGGAGTAACCGTTGCAAGAAAAAGTGACTTGTATCTCATCCCCATCCCGTACAGTGCACCCTAAATCAATATCTTGTAGTAATTTCGCTTTCTCATGTACGAGATGAAGCTAGTTCTTTTATGGTGTAAGGATGAAGTTTAGGGTGGTTTGTAATGTATGAGTTTCACATTATCATGTTAGATTGTAAGATTTCGTGTAATAACAAACTATAGTGTTTGATAGCCACGAATTGTAATATTTGTACGAGAAATAAAAATATTTAATATTTTCTTAAACAATTTATTTTCTCCCCGTCGGAGATAATAAGAACGTAACCGTTATTTATTTCATTTTTTTTTTGTTATGGTTTGGACTTTGGATAAATAAGTTATTTGATGTCTAAACGCTTGTTCCCCTTTGTTTAATTTACTTCATTGTACAGAATATTGAGCAAAAGACGATGCAACTAGATCAAAATTTGGTGAGAATGAAAGAAAGAAGTTTTGTACGCGAAATGAAAATGCATTCAACTCTGATTTTTCCATATCCAACTTTGATTTGGTATATGGAGCAATACAATATTTCTTTAATCCTTAAGAGATTCGATGGAAACACTACTAATTGACTAATTGTAGAATCAAAACTAGCATAAACAAAGGCATTAAACCCACGCTGATGGATTAATTTTGGTCCTACTCGTGACTCCTAAGTCTAACCGCGCACCCACACATCATATTCATTATTGTTGTTTGTAATGGTTTTCGTTGGTTCTAATTATTGAATTATTAAATCCAATTATCACCAAGTTCA